TGTATTTGATTGTGTTTATCTGCAGTTAGTTATACGAATTCAGATATGGGATGAAATCGGATAGGGATGAAATCTGGTTTAAGAGTTTTTAAGTGTTTTTAAGAGTTTTAAGAGTTTTTAAGTGTTTTTAAGAGTTTTAAGAGTTTTAAGAGTTTTAAGAGTTTTAGCCAAATGCTTTATAATATAGTATAGATATTTAATTAATACACAACTTTTCATACCAGCATGTACCAATTATCATGCTATCACGTAATCATTTAATCAAATAATCACTTATTTATTACCTTGGGTAATAACCAGGATCTGGTTATCACAGTATTAAATAAAAAAACATATTTTTTATGTAATTTAATTAATATATGATTATGCATTTTTCATAGGATAAAGATGTAAAATAAAAAATAAAAATATATAGATATAACACAAATTAATTCGTAGGTATTCATGATATGTAATAGTATTATTAAATCCAAAAATATTCAATCTTGGGCTTAATTTGAAGGTATTCAGGAGAAGCTTAAAATGGTATAATTTCTAAAAAAAGAAACACATTTTTAAATGCATTGTACTTTATATAAGATTATATATATATATATATATATGTATATGATAAAGGCGTAAAATGAAAAATGAAAAATAAAAAATGAAAAGCATAAGATATATAAAGTAAACTAAATCAACAATTATAAGGATATAAAATGTAATTTTGAAATTGAATATGAGTTGATGGACTATTATGGGAGGTTGTAACCATTAATAGCTTGGACAATATATTTAATTGGTTGTACCTCTTAAAAATTGAAGATAATTGTAACTAGCCTTTTTTTTAAATAGTAAACATTAGTTTCTAATTTCAAAAATATCACAAAGTGTCTTCGTCTTTCATACTTGTAGATAAAATTCAAATAATGATTAATATTGGTCCTCACGGTCCTCAACAATTTTTCGGTCCTCGCATGATTTAACCCTTATTTGATATATATATATATATATATATATAACTCACACACACACACACACATATATATATATATATATATGTATATATCATATATTGCCATTATGTTGTTGATTGATTATATTTACTCATTTTGTAGTTGAAAGCATTTGATCTTACTGTAAACAACATTTATTGTTTTTTCTTTATTATGTATTTTTTTTTGTTTCCGGTCTCTGCTTTATAGTCAACCGCTATTTAAATCTCCTAATAGCTTACAACATATGTGCAAGGTACAAATCAAAAGAGTATATGCTTGTTAGGGTGCCTATAATATGTGTTTTCTAGAATATCAACATTAGGTAAAATAGAGGGTTAATAGTTACATTGTAGGTGCTTATGTCATCAATAAATTAAATGGATACGTCAAATTAATTAGTTATGATATTAATTCTTAGTCCCAATATCAAAAAATTCCAAATAATTTCTCTAACAACCAGCTCTTCACCCCTAAGAAGGGATGCTTCCTCTGGAATTGGTTGTTAGCATTGCAAAGATTGGGTTACTTCACTAACACTTCCAAGTGATTTTCAAAGACGAGGACAGAAAGATAGATGTACATCTGCGCATAAATGATCAAATGTAGTATTCAAAAAAAATGGCTACATCAACCCGTGAAGTAGAAATGATTAAAAAGTTTTAAAAAACCCGTAGTAGCTATATATGACGTCATTTTACATCTTTTGAATTATATAGTACGGATTAGAAGGACAAAAATGGAAATGTAAACACTAACGATACAAAACACTTGCGTAGGATGTTCTTTGCTCCAATGAGATGCTTTGTGCATAACATGTGTCTAGCATAGTCTAGCCATGGCTTACTGCAAGCTAACTGTTACAGTTGATGAAAAGCGAATTTTGAATTCATACATTTCATTCATCCATTTATTGCAAGGTACATGAAAAACCAAACAGTATATGGTCGTTACAGTGCCTACTATATATGTGTACTATAAAATATCAACGTTAGATAGAACACAGGGCTAATAGCTACATTGAAGGTGCTTATGTCATCAATAAATCAAATGCATACRTTAGATTAATTAGTTTTCATATTAAATTGGTAGTCCCAATCTCAAAABATTCTAAATAATTTCTCTAACAACTAGCACTTCACCCATGAGAAGGGATGCTTCCTCTAAAATTGGTTGTTAGCACTTCATGATGGATTGTATGAATTAGTCAACTGTTATGAAAAACAAAGAAAAGAGGCACCGCCTAATTACCATGTATATTATTTATATGGATAAACCATGAAGCCCCWAACATGTTTCTATAAATAAGCTTGCAGGGATTGGGGCTAGATGAACAACATAACTTCAGCTCCATAAGAAACTTTGTCCTCCTTGTTCAAAAAACTATTATTCTTAGCAAGRAAAATGGTATGATCTTTCACTATAAGCATAGCATTGGTAAACTATATTAGTGAACGCTAGGTTTACAATTATCGGTATTTGATTTGCTTTTCTTTATTTCAAACACCATTTCACTTTTTATCAATTTTGTATTTTTGATCCATGTGCAGGCTAGTCAAGTAGAGGTAGGACCATGGGGCGGTGACGGTGGAGTTAATCCTTGGACATTCAAACCGGATGGTAGGATTGTCGGTTTTCGCATTGCTAGTGGGTACGTCATAGATTCCATCAGGTTCACTTATGAGGATAACAGTCAGGTCTCACACCATTCTGAAACATATGGTGGTGATGGTGGAGACCTCAATCGACCTGTGAGATCTCATTACATATCTATTATATATGCATATATGTACGAATGATATCTTCTTATATTATCGCATAGCATTTATGATGGATCTGTGTGGAATACTCAGGTGAAGTTTGATGATGATGAGGACCTTATCCGGGTTAGCGGAACAATTGGACAATTTTACAGTATTACGGTGATTACGTCCTTGTCTTTTCATACCAACAAAGGGAAGACCTATGGGCCATATGGCAGAAGTGATGGGACTAGTTTCTCTCTGCCTGTGACTAAGGGTAAGTTTATCGGATTCTTTGGAAATTATGGGGATGTCCTCGACTCTATTGGTGTCATTCTGCAACCCTAAAACCGATGCTGGCCAACGTTATGTATGACGGCATAAATATATATGTTGTTGGAAGTCGTATGCTTATCTGAATAAAGTAGGTTGAGAGAAACCTATATAAAGTAGTTGTTATTTCTTTCTCCTACAGAAGCAACTCATGTGTGTTTTTCGTTTTTAATGTCATGTCGTTTGTGCTCCTATTTCAGAATTATACTTATACTTCAATACACACCCTTGTCATGCACTTGTCTTCTTCATCATCTCCTTAAAAGTTTCTTGATGGATATTTTCGTCTTGCTAATGATACCACCATGAATTTACTTTGTGGTTGGTTCATTCCTATGGCTACTTTGCTTAGACATTCATCACCGTAGGGAAAACTGTTCACCATAAACATTTTGGATTTGCAATATTTTGTTTGATATCTTTGAATGGAAAGAGTGCAAAACTGGGAGAAGGAAACTACTCCCATCCACCCTTAAGGCTCAGAATGCACCTTAAGGCTCAGAATGCACCTTCTCAGAAGTTTTACTCAATGAGTTGCTAATGATACAAAACTGACCTAATTTTATCGAATTAATTAGTTATGATATGATGACTATTGTTGTTACTTAGACAATAATGAAGAATTAAAGTGTGTACACACACCGATGTAAGCATATTAGATTGTCAGCAATGCCAATATGCTTACATGGATCATAAATACAGGATTAATAAAGTAACAAACCCAAATTGTCCAACTATTTAAAAATAACCAATTTGTACGACTTCAAATATAGAATTTATATGATTAATATTAATCGTTATTTACTAGTAGTAATAATTTAAAATATAATAAAATAATAATATTAGTTATTACTAATATTAATAAATATTAAATTCAGTTGTTAACTATTTTTAATTATACATTAATATTAGTTATTCATAATTATTATTAGTCATATAACTTATTTTTATATTATTATTTTTTTAAACTAGTAATATTCTATAGAGTGCCTACTATATATATGTGTACAATAAAATATCAACGTTAGGTAGAAAACAGGGGTAATTAGTTATCATATTAAGGAGATTAGAAATCATAACATTCTGAAATGTGAAATAGGGTAAAAATATTAATTGCAAAAAACCGACAAAGATAGTTCGTAAAAACAAAGATCCTGAAAAAGTACCTCAAAATGCAAGATTATCCCTCTCTTTTTTCCTGATTTACATGACTTCATGCATATATTCCAAAAAGATAACGATGAGACCAATCACTCAATCTATGAGAAAATGTTTCTAGCAATATGTGATGGTTTTAAAACCAATTATGAACAATTAATAATGGTAAAATGTGTATCAAATAAAAAAACACATTTTTTATGTAATTTAATTAACATATGATTATGCATTTTTTATATGATAAAGATGTAAAATGAAAAATAAAAATACATAGATATAAAAAATTAATTCGTAGGTATTCATGATATTTAATAGTATTATTCAATCCAAAAATATTCAATCTTGGGCTTAATTTGAAGGTATTTAGGAGAAGCTTAAAATGGTATAATTTCTAAAAAAAGAAACACATTTTTAGATGCATTGTACTTCATATACGATTATATATATTAATATGATAAGGGCGTAAAATGAAAAAATGAAAAAAAAATAAGATATATAAAATAAACTAAATCAACAATTACAAGTGTATAAAATGTAATTTTGAAATTGAAAATCAGTTGATCGCCTATAATGGGAGGTTGTAACGTTTAATAGTTTGGACAATATCTTTAATTGGTGGTACCTCTTAAAAATTCAAGATAATTGTAACTAGTCTTTTTTCAAATAGTAAACATTAGTTTCTAATTTCAAAAGTATCACAAAAGTGTAATCATCTTTCATACCCGTAGATAAAGTTCAAATAATAATTAATATTGGTCCTCACAGTCCTCAACATTTTTTCGGTCCTCACATGATTTAACCCTTATTTGATATATATATATATATGTATGTATATATCACACACACACACACACACATATATATACATATATGTATATATCATATATTGCCATTATGTTGTTGATTGATTATATTTACTCATTTTATAGTTGAAAGCGTTTGATCTTATTGTAAACAACATTTAATGTTTTTTCTTCATTATATATATATTTTTTGTTCCCGGTCTCTGTTTATAGTCAACCGCCATTTAAATCTCCGAATGGCTTACAACTTATGTGCAAGGTACAAATCCAAAGACTATATGGTTGTTAGAGTGCCTACTATATGTGTTTTCTAGAATATCAACATTAGGTAGAACGAAGGGGTAATAGTTACATTGTTGGTGCTTATGTCATCAATAAATTAAATGGATACGTCAAATTAATTAGTTATCATATTAATTGTTAGTCCCAATCTCAAAAAATTCTAAATAATTTCTCTAACAACCAACTCTTCACCTATGAGAAGGGATGCTTCCTCTGGATTTGGTTGTTAGCATTGCAAAGATTGGGTTACTTCACTAACACTTGCATGTGATTTTCAAAGACGAGGACAGAAAGATAGACATACATCTGCTCATAAATGATCAAATGTAGTATTCAAGAAAAAAAAAATAGCTACATCAACCCGTGAAGTAGAAAAGATTAAAAAGTTTTAACAAACCCGTAGTCGCTATATATGACTTCATTTTACATCTTTTGAATTATAGTAGTACAGATTAGAAGGACAAAAATGAAAATGTGAACACTAACGATACGAAACGCTTGCATAGGTTGTTCTTTGCTCCAATAAGATGCTTTGTGCGTAACTTGTGTCTAGCACAGTCCAGACATGGCTTACTACAAGCTAACTGTTACAGTTGATAAAAAGCGAATTTTGAATTCATACATTTCATTCATCCATTTATTGCAAGGTACATGAAAAACCAAACAGTATATGGTCGTTAGAGTGCCTACTATATATGTGTACTATAAAATATCAAAGTTAGATAGAACACAGGGCTAATAGCTACATAGTATGTGCTTATGTCAAAAATAAATCAAACGCATACGTCAAATTAATTAGTTGTCATATTAAATTGGTAGTCCCAATCTCAAAACATTCTAAATAATTTCTCTAACAACCAGCACTTCACCCATGAGAAGGGATACTTCCTCTGAAATTGGTTGTTAGCATTTCATGATGGATTGTATGAATTAGTCAACTGTTATGAAAAATAAAGAAAAGAGGCACCACCTAATTACCAGGTATATTATTTCTATGGATTAACCATGAAGCCCCTAACATGTTTCTATAAATAAGCTTGTAGGGATTGGGGTGAGAGAACAACATAACTTCAGCTCTTTAAGAAACTTTGTCCTCCTTGTTCAAAAAAAAATATTATTCTTAGCAAGGAAAATGGTATGATCTTTCACTATAAGCAGTGTATTGGTAAACTATATTAGTGAACGCTAGGTTTACAATTATCGGTACTTGATTAGCTTTTCCATATTTCAAACACCACTTCACTTTTTATTAATTATGTATTTTTGATCCATGTGCAGGCTAGTCAAGTAGATGTTGGACCATGGGGAGGTGACGGTGGAGTTAATCCTTGGACATTCAAACCAGATGGTAGGATTGTCGGTTTTCGCATTGCTAGTGGAGACGTCATAGATTCCATCAGGTTCACTTATGAGGATAAAARCCAGGTCTCACACCATTCTGAAACATTTGGTGGCGATGGTGGCACACTTAATCGACCTGTGAGATCTCATTAMATATCTACTATATATGCATATATGTAYGAATGATATCTTCTTATATTATCGCATAGCATTTATGATGGATCTGTGTGAAATACTCAGGTGAAGTTTGATGATGATGAGGACCTCATCCGAGTTAGCGGAACAATTGGAAATTTTTACAGTATTACAGTGATTACGTCCTTGTCTTTTCATACCAACAAAGGGAAGACCTATGGGCCATATGGTGGAGGTGATGGGACTAGTTTCTCTCTGCCTGTGACTAAGGGTAAGTTTATCGGATTCTTTGGAAATTATGGGGATGTCCTCGACTCTATTGGTGTCATTCTGCAACCCTAAAACCGATGTTGGCCAACGTTATGTATGACGTCATACATATATGTTGTTGGAAGTCGTATGCTTATCTGAATAAAGTAGGTTGASAGAAACCTATGTAAAGCAGTTGTTATTTCTTTCTTCTACAGAAGAAACTCATGTGTGTTTTTCGTTTATAATGTCATGTCGTTTGTGCTCCTATTTCAGAATTATACTTATACTTCAATACGCACCCTTGTCATGCAAGTACTTATCTTCTTCATCAACTCCTTAAAAGCTTCTTGATGGATATTTTCATCTTGCTAATGATACCACCACGAATTTACTTTGTGGTTGGTTCATTCCTGTGGCTGCTTTGCTTAGACATTCATCTCCATGAGAACATAATCATTTTGGATTTGCAATATTTTGTTTGACATCTTTGAATGGAAAGAGTGCAAAACTGGGAGAAGGAAACTACTCCCATCCACCCTTATGGCTCAAAATGCACCTTCTCAGAAGATTTACTCGATGAGTTGCCAATGATACAAAACTGACCTAATTTTATCGAATTAATCAGTTATGATATGATGACTATTGTTGTTACTTAGACAACAATGAAGAATTAAAG